CCCCCCCCCAGTTCATCTTCTATATCTATATCGGTATACATAATACACGAGTGGCATCCCAGCGGCAATTTCACTGGGGTCCACATACCACGAGGAATTGTATCGTCCGCAAAAGCTTCCTTCTATCGAAGGGCGGATTTATCGTGCCCGATGCCGAGAAGATCCCCCTGGAGTTTATATGAATGAAGAGAATCAAATAGAAATTCTCCACAATCGTTCACCGTGATATGAATTTTTCACATATACATTTTTTACATTTTCAATTGATCTCAAGGAGGTACATGGTGTGGAGAATGGAAATTATTGAATTGAGGGTGGTTTCAGTTGTTCATATCTCCGTGAAGAAATTGAGAAAGTACATCCGTTTTTCGAAGAAACTTTCAGAACATGAAAACTTGAAAAGAAGATTGTTAATTAGGAATTTGTCGTTTTGTTTTGTCCCTCATATTATGCACAATAAATTCCAAAAAAGACTAGATAAAAACTCTCATGTTATAATTAATATTTTCTTCGCAAATGTTCCGCAAAAATCTGAAGTGTATTGTTTATAGCTCAAAGATACCACAATATCTGTAAATACTTCATTATGGAACAATTCCTTCCAACCAATTTAGGGCCATGAATAAGCAAAAATAACAAAGAACTTTAACTAAAAAAAAACTAAATTCCTCTCGTTTTTTCTAATTTTATCAACGTTTCGTGTGCTGTATGGTCATCTCTTTACGGCAGTTTATCAATTAATTTTCCTCAAGTCCATGAAAATTGTTAATATTTTATAGCTAACATCACATCAGCAATTAAAAATTAATTTGAAAAATATTGCATAAGGCCTGAGCATAGCATCTTCAGGCCATAACCTGAATTATAATTGGTATTTGCTTATTCATGACTGTAAATTGGCTGGAGGGAGTTGTTCTATAATGATAAACTGAAACGGTTGGATAAATTACGTAAATAGTTCCCATGATCTCATTTTTATAACGAGAAATATGTATGCAAATTGCACTCTAATTGTTCAGAAATAAAAATGCAGGTGGATTTTTTATGTTGTAAATTTGAATTTAATTTATGACCTAATTATTTATGAAATTTATTATTCACCTAAAAAATTCAACCCCCTTGCATTTTTCGAACTGGTTGATCCGCGTAATTTCAGTGACAGTGGTCGGACTATTTAACACATTGTAATTTCAGCACAACAAATCAATTCAACAAATAGTCTATTCAACACAAAATTTATTTATCACCCAGCCTGTTCATTACACAGCCCACTCTACACGTGCCCATTGTTTTTTGTATGCCAACATAATTTTCACCGCACACAATGTTTTATCCAAAACAGACCTACAATCACTAAATTCGTTGAAATTTAAACAAGAAGTGTACACTGAGAAAAAATAATTCTAATATTTGACACATATTTTCTCGAGACAAGTAAATTTCCTTCAATTGTTCAATTCTCCCAGACATCTCAACTCACGTGGCCCGAGAAAGGTCTCATGCTTTAACTAATTCTTGTACTCAAGTATGATTTTGTCCCAAATGAACTCACTCAAGTCGCGTAGAAAAATTTTCAATCTTCAGGTATTTATGGTGTTCATAATTTTTTTGTTAGGCAGTTCCAATATTTCGATACGTAATATATTCATGATACAACGCGCAACGATAGTGATAAATGAGAATCCATTTGAGTTTCGTGAACCGCAAACATTCTGAAATTTGAACCATTGAAAATAATTTACTTCTCTCAAGTAAATATGGTCTACGTATTAGGAATTTTTTCTCTCGTGTATCGGAAAAATCGGCCAAAAAATGTCACAAATATAAACAGAAATTGCACACAAATTATTCAATTNATCACCCAGCCTGTTCATTACACAGCCCACTGTACACGTGCCCATTGTTTTTTGTATGCCAACATAATTTTCACCGCACACAATGTTTTATCCAAAACAGACCTACAATCACTAAATTCGTTGAAATTTAAACAAGAAGTGTACACTGAGAAAAAATAATTCTAATATTTGACACATATTTTCTTGAGACAAGTAAATTTCCTTCAATTGTTCAATTCTCCCAGACATCTCAACTCACGTGGCCCGCGAAAGGTCTCATGCTTTAACTAATTCTTGTACTCAAGTATGATTTTGTCCCAAATGAACTCACTCAAGTCGCGTAGAAAAATTTTCAATCTTCAGGTATTTATAGTGTTCATAATTTTTTTGTTAGGCAGTTCCAATATTTCGATACGTAATATATTCATGATACAACGCGCAACGATAGTGATAAATGAGAATCCATTTGAGTTTCGTGAACCGCAAACATTCTGAGATTTGAACCATTGAAAATAATTTACTTCTCTCAAGTAAATATGGTCTACGTATTAGGAATTTTTTCTCTCGTGTATCGGAAAAATCGGCCAAAAAATGTCACAAATATAAACAGAAATTGCACACAAATTATTCAATTGCTTCACCTCACATTCCCCAACGAAGGAAGCATTACAATTGAATAACCATCAATTAAATAAATCTCAATTAAAACCTGATCACACAATGTTTTATCCAAAACAGACCTACAATCACTAAATTCCTTGAAATTCAAACAAGAAGTGTATCGGAAAATTCGGCCAAAAAATGTCACAAATGTAAACAGAAATTGCACACAAATTGTTCAATTGTTTCACCTCACATTCCCCAACGAAGGAAGCATTACAATTCAATAGCCATCAATTAAATAAATCCCAATTAAAACCTGATTACACTAAAATCATCTGAATCGTCTCCATAAAACCGTGCGAGATCGATAAACCGAACGGCACTTCGACCTGAAATGATCGGTCCGAAAATTGGATTTTACGGTATTGAATGCACTCCCCTGCGTAATGAATTTGACAGGTTTCAATGGATCCATAAATTGAGACCACGCGAATACAGTGTATATAGACAGTAGTAATAACCCCGTAATGACGACAGACGAAAGGCCGGGTGTTGAGGTTGAGCTCACACCGGCAAATTTTACGAGTTGAGGGTGAATTTTGGGTCATACCCCTGTGCAGAAATACGACAGGGGGGAGTACTTCGGTATGTGACGATGGGTAGGGAAATGTCACATGAAATTTTCCCGCCGCCCCTTCGCCAGTGTATCGCCAATTTAACGCAACGGCACCTGCAATGGATGTTATAACATAATTATACAGAGCGGAGAGATGAGAAGAGAGTAAAAACAGCAACGGTGGGGTGCGTACGTTTAACGAGAAAGGGGAATGGAAGGGACTGGTTGGTGAGCAAGAGAGACTATGAGGGGGGGGG